GGAATGAGGAAGAGGAAGGAAAAGAGAGAAGATTAAGACATCTGGCCATTATGGTGACGCTTCCAGACTAATCATACATCATATCCCAGATGAGTTATATAACATTCAGCATATCATTACAGGGACTGGTGAAAAATAATAGTGTAAAAACACCAGGTATTCCAGTAAAATAAATATTTAAGCAAAAATAAAAGACAAAATTTGTCTTGTATCTGTTTCCTGTCTAGGCCAAAGTTGGCATGAAAATGCATGAGAGAACAATGCCTGAAATAATAACATATCGGTTCCTTGTCAAAGTATGCAACATTTGGTAGAGCATTATGGAAAAACTCGTAAAACTCACTTCCATCAAGGTTATGGCAAAGTATGCTAGAAGAAATTCTAGAAATGCCTTTATACCCAATCTCTCGTTAAAAATCGTAAAAGCTTTTCTGTCTCATAGAGCATTTAAAAAGCATCAAAACAATCCCTGAAGACACTGTCACAATCCCTGTAGAAGCCCCGTGGATTTGGAAAGTTTGTGTATTTAACTCGGTGTGTGTGAAGACTCTGCGGATAGGAAAAGGGCAGATTAATTTAAAAGTGTTTCAGCAGAAGTTGCCAAACCGCTGCGGGTGTCTGAAACTGATACCTTGTCTTGGTGGGGTGTATTAGGGTCTGCATTCTCTAAGGGTTTGCTTTGAAAGATTGAGAAGAGAGAAAGCTCGCCTCAATGTCTCTGCAGATGAGACGCACAAAGACATACGATCCACAGCACAGCAGCCAAGATCTTTCAACTTCTATAAGCTCTCTGGCTCACCTCAGATAGAAAAGAAAAGAAGATTCAGCAAAACAATGTCTGAGTGAAGGGGGTTTTGGAAACCGAACCATCTAGTTGAACCACCAACACCAATTTATTCACATAGTAAGCAGGCTAAAGTGAGTTTTAGACTTGTGATTTACTGCATCAGAATGTTCTCCAAAAGGAAAAAAGACACTAAATGTTAACCTTTAAACTGAAACAAATGGCACATATAAACCATGCATCCAAGTTCTCAGGCTTATAATGAATTACACTTTATGTTACTTGGCCTGCCAATTTTTTACCAAAGCCCAAAAAATAAATGAATCTTAGTACTAACAAACAAAATCTGTGGTTCTGCCATGATTTTTGGACAGGGTACTACATTGGACACTGGACAAGTAACACAGCTTTTTGGACATGTCACTATAGTACTGCCATTGATTTTTGGACATATACCACAGTATTCTTGGAAGTAATTTGGAGTATCATGAGAATACCATTTCAGAATTATGGTATATATCAAAAACCATGGTACCTGATACCACTACTATACCATGGTCCAGATTCTTCAGAAGGTACCACAACTGATCAAATTGCTGAGAATGTAAGATGATATAGACTGTCATGAATTACTGAAGGTTTTGGTGGTAAGCGTTTCATCTGGAGAAGTATCAAAAACCCGAGGGGAAACTAGTTTGCACCAACAGTGGAACAAGCCGGCAGTCTGTCACTCTTGTATGGTTATCTTGTGCACACACTTTGGATGATGTCTCCAGAAAGTGCTTCAATACGCTCCAAATGCTGAGATGATTTCCATCTCAACAAATAAGCCTATGAGATTACCAACATAACACATGAGGTTAGGTCAGAGGTAGTAAATCTGGCAATAAAGCCCATGCTGAGTCATGATTGACAAGCTTCATGGAATAGGAATGGGAGTCCTTGTGTTTCTTGGAAAGCAAACATCACATAACAAACCACAAATCTTTTATTCACTAAACAGCTTGTCTTTTCTGACCTTTCATGGCTTTCTCAAAAAGTTGTAGATCTATATTAGTGATAGGCATGGGCCGATTACCGGTTTCAAGGTATACCGCGATTTGATGCTGTATCAAATGCTGTATCAGCGCCTCCTGCTGTCAGAGAGTGAATCTGCATCTCATTCAGAGCTTCTGCTGTTTGTTTCGTTCAGGCATGTAGTATAATTTCACAAAGCTAGTCAGAACATTCTGTTTTTGCTTCAAATTGGATTATTAAATCAAATTATGTATATGAAATTGTATATGATATGAAATGATATGTATATGAATTACATAACTGAAATTAAATAACTGTTAAAAAAAATAAAAAAAATCTTTATTTTTCTTCTTTTTAGGGCAGCAGTAGCTCTAGCAGCAAATCAACCATCCACATCAAAAGCTGCAAGACAGCCCACATTTCAGAAACAAATCAACGAAAAAATAAACAAATACTACTGTTCCAAATATTCTGTATGTTGCTCAAAACATATTGTTCAGTTGTTTTTTTTGTCCAGACATTTCAAATTAACACATTTTAGAGCTGTAACAACAATACTGTAATACCGTGAAACCGTGATATTTTGGCTTAAGGTTATCATACCGTCAAAATCTCATACCGGCCCATGCCTAATTAGTGATACACATTTTCTTTACTATATTTCCCAGGGCACACATTTACACAACTAACTGTCTGTATTTAATACCAGTCTCTTTGTTTTATGGTGTTTACAAACCCATGTTCATTGATTAGTGGCTCACACTTAAGTGCCTCACACAACAGCGTGCCCTATTTAGAAGACTTGAGACACACACATACACATAAACGTAGAATCTGGCAGTGATAAAGATTATTTTGACTCTCACACAGACGCATTGAAGAATTACGTATTTGCAGCTAACCATGTGTGACGTGACCGATTCAGAAGCACAGGCTGATAACAGACAGAACTACCCGTATCCCAATTCTGTCGTTATTTACTTACCCACATGTTCCCTAGTGACAAATAAATATACTAAAATGTATTTGAAATACATTTATTTTACGCCAAGTATACTACAAATACATTTACATATTTATGTACTTAATAAAAATACCCTGCAATTGTACTTTTAGTACTGGCATACTTAAAATCTGCTAAATTGGAACAACAAATTTTGTACAGACTGTACAGTACTTTAATTGTGCAGAAGTAGTGCTGAAGTCCAACTAAAGATAACATAAGTATATTTGATTGTGCTAAAGTGGAGCTATTGCAAGAATACTTCAGGTACACTTTAAATATCTTGCATATAAAGACCAATATTATTCAAAAATCATGCAATTCTCATCAATAGTGACATTAAAACACATAAACTTAATATTATGAAATGGGAATTGTGTACAAGTAGTACTCCGAAAACATTTTAATTATATTTTTTTATATCATTAAATCTCAAGCGATATGTCAGGAAATATGTTAATAGATTTGACCTATACTTAGTATGAAATAAATGTAATTTAAATATATTATTTTTTACTAGGGTTGACATGTTGCGCCAATCTGATATGCTGTTATTTCTACTGGGTAACACGAAAGAATAATATTTTAAAGAATCTTCATGTAGTTCTTTAATTTCAATAGTGACCATGTCTTTTAAGCTACACACACACACAAAAAAAAGTACACTACTGTTGGTACTGGAGTTGGTAAAATATTTAATGTTAAAGTCTCTTATGCCCACCTTGCTGTATTAATTTGATTCAATTCAATTCAAGTTTATTTGTATTGCGCTTTTCACGATACAACTGGTGCAAAGCAGCTTTGCAGAAAATTAAAGTTTCTACATTATATTTACATTTGATAAAAAATACTGTAAAGACAGTTGTGAATTATTGCAATTATATTGTGAAATATTATAATTTAAAATGCAATTTTGGATTTGAACACTTTGTAGCATTTGGAGGCTTTGATTGATAGAAATTTCAATGAGTAACATTAAAGTAACACAAAAAAAAAAGGTTATTGACTCCAAACTTTTGAATGGCAGTGTTTTATATGTAGTTTTTTTTTTGGTAACATTTGACAGAACATTAAAGGTCGATATGAGGTGCATCAATTCACACTTATTAAAAACAAAAAAAAAAAGTTTTAGTAAAGTAATTTCAGGACTCACCCAGCCAACACAATGAAGAAGTCTAGCCGATTCCAGGTGTCTCCAAGGTAACATTTTTTCCCAAAGATGCCCAGTGCAACCATCTTGATTACCATCTCCATGGCAAAAAAAGCAAAGATGAAATCATCAAAGTCCTGAGGGGAGAGAGAAAAATCCGAAGGGTTAACAAAATCTTAAAATGCTGCACTGGCCAAATCAGAGTTTGCAAAAATGTTCTTCTTTTGATCAGGAGATACAACTCGCACTAAATTAAGGACAACTTATAAATAAAGAAATACACCATCCAAAGGCATATGCAGATGAATATTACATTTCCACTTTGATGTCACAGCATAGTGTGTGTGTGTGTGTGTGTGTGTGTGTGTGTGTGTCCATGTAGTGCGTGTGAGAGTTTCTGCTTGTAAGTGAGAGTACAAGGTGATTGTGACAGAGAGAGTTAGACTATTGTGCAACAGCAGAGCTAAATACAGCACACACAGGCTGCACTGAAACTCATTACTGTACAGTGCTTACACAAATACCGCCAAGGTGCTATTTGTGTGTGTGTATGCATAAACTTGTTGTTGAGAATATATACTTTTGTATCCAGTACAACAAGCCATTTATTTGTTTATGTGGCTGGTTAGGTTATAAGATTGTGCAGTTCTGTGCTTGTACACACTGTTTTTGCAGGAACTGGTGCAAAGCAGCTTTGCAGAAAATTAAAGTTTCTACATTATATTTACATTTGATAAAAAATACTGTAAAGACAGTTGTGAATTATTGCAATTATATTGTGAAATATTATAATTTAAAATGCAATTTTGGATTTGAACACTTTGTAGCATTTGGAGTCTTTGATGGATAGAAATTTCAATGAGTAACATTAAAGTAACACAAAAAAAAAAGGTTATTGACTCCAAACTTTTGAATGGCAGTGTTTTATATGTAGTTTTTTTTTTGGTAACATTTGACAGAACATTAAAGGTCGATATGAGGTGCATCAATTCACACTTATTAAAAACAAAAACAAAAAGTTTTAGTAAAGTAATTTCAGGACTCACCCAGCCAACACAATGAAGAAGTCTAGCCGATTCCAGGTGTCTCCAAGGTAACATTTTTTCCCAAAGATGCCCAGTGCAACCATCTTGATTACCATCTCCATGGCAAAAAAAGCAAAGATGAAATCATCAAAGTCCTGAGGGGAGAGAGAAAAATCCGAAGGGTTAACAAAATCTTAAAATGCTGCACTGGCCAAATCAGAGTTTGCAAAAATGTTCTTCTTTTGATCAGGAGATACAACTCGCACTAAATTAAGGACAACTTATAAATAAAGAAATACACCATCCAAAGGCATATGCAGATGAATATTACATTTCCACTTTGATGTCACAGCATAGTGTGTGTGTGTGTGTGTGTGTGTGTGTCCATGTACTGAGGGGCTATAAGCCTTGACTCATCCTTACACAGAGATCTCGGTAAGTCTGAGTGGGCACAAACAGCCAACTCACCCAAGTCTTTACCCATAAATCCTCTGCTTACGTTACCAGAAATGTGCTATGCATTAAAACAAAAACCTTACTAGATCTACATATACAGGGAAATTATCTGCAATGTGGAGTTTTAATGAATATGCATAAAAATACAGCATTAAGAAGTAAACAGAAAGCATTTTTGCTTTAAAAAAACGTGAGATGCCGGCAGTGGAATGAAGGGGGAAAAAACGCTTTGAGACATGTTTTTAAAAGTTGCACTTCTGTCACGTGAGATGTGAATGCAACAGTCGAAGATGTCAGTCTAGTGAATGTTTACATAGAAAAACAATGAAAAAGTAGCACAGTGGAATGGAAAAAATGTGTTGTGTGTGAACGGGCCCCTCAGTCTGTGTTAGTAAATTAAGTTTGTGCAAATAACCATGAAGTCAGAAGGACAATTCTGACAGACTGTGAAAATGTCATTCTCTCTAAAACTCCTCTGTAAATCTAAAAATGAACAAGACTATACTAATCAAATTGGCCATTTTCAAAACATATATTACATAAGGCAATTATGAGAAACACAGTGTCAATTTACTGAATATTCACTTTATTGTTGTTGAATAATGACTTGTTGATTAGAACTACATGCATGGAAGGAAAATCTGCTAGACTGGTGACCTATTCAGACCTCCTTTAATTTCATTTCAACAATAGACGGTGCATTTCTGGACCTTATGAACTAAATCGCTTTATTAAACATGCATTTTCCTCAGGCAGATGCAAAAGGCTGTTTGTCAGTTCTTGAGTAAAGACCACAGACCGGGTCCTTGAGACATCGGCGGCCATATGAACTCAGAGACCATCGTTTCCTCAAGGTCGACCGTCAGCGAAAGACACCTGGGCATTCTCAGCCAGCGAGGACATTAGTCAAATCTCTTAAGTGAGGGATTCCCTCCAGCCAAAGCACTTGCACTCTGACAATGCAGGGAATGTTAATTAAGCCGCAGTGGAGAGCATTTACTGTCGCGTTGGACATTATTCAGAGCCAAGTGCTAATGTATACCTCATCCCTAATCTGCTTGTATTGTACATAGTGGACATTTGGGTTATAGAGCACTACAGTACTTGCCAATTCAAAGTTAATGGTAACACACAACACATCCATAAACAATGCTGTCAGAATGAGGAGGGGAGAATCTGTGAGCTTTCATTTTGCATTAATGGTTTAGGGAATAGACTGTCTGTTCAGACAGAGATAGATCTCCTAAGACCATGCCCTAATGTTCTCTAATTATCTGCCTTAATGTGAACATATGGTGAACACATAAAAACAAAACAATAATAATTTCACTATAAATAACACAAAAATCTTCATACTGAAATCTCACTTTGAAAAAAGGGTTCTGCCCTGTACATTAACACTGCTCAACATAAGGATGGTTTCTGCTCGACCAGTCACTATTTTTGGCAGCATATGAAAAAAGGTATCATATAGGGACCAATTCTCAATATTAACTAGTCGCTTATTAGCATGCCTATTATTAACATATTTGCTGCTTATAAAGCACATATTCTGCATGACCATACTCTACATCCCTAATCCTACCCAATACCTAAACTTAACAATAATCTTATTACTTACTAACTATATACAAGCATCAAATTAGGAGTTCATTGATGCAAAAGTCGTAGTTAATGGTTTGTTAATAGCGAGAACTGGACCTTAAAATGAAGTGTGACCAAAATTTAATAATTCATATTTTAATAATTTGTATTCTAATAATAATTCAATATATTGAAAGTACTTTAAATAATGTTTTTACATGCGTTTTTCATCAAATGTTTTCTTGAATAATTGAATCGATTTATCAATTTACAGTAATAGATAAAAAAAATGTGTTTATGTATTTCTAAAATAAATGTAAAAATAACAAAATAATAAAAATAATTATAATAAATACATTTTAATGTGTTTTTTCATTAAATGTATGTAAGTACAAATAATTACTAGATTTTAAATTTACAGTAACAGCTTATAGCTATACTCGATGGCAGCTATAAATGCATAAACACACTTTTATCTAAGCCAGCTAAATAAAGTAATGTTATCATAGTGACCTTAGTATTTTGGCAGTGTAAGACAAAAATGAAATACAAAACAATAATTAAAAAAAAATTCTCTAAATGTAATACAACATTTTTATAAAGAATTAATAATAATTACATTTAATAAAATTAAATAAACTAGTATAATTTGCAACAAATTTGTACATAAGTGAATAATAAGTAAATAAATACAGTACATAAGACTAGATCAACAAATGTAACATTTAGTGATAACATTTACTGGACTGATAAGGCAAAAGACAGTCCACCAACTGGCCCTATTGTTGGTCCCTGCATTATTGACCGATCTTGACCCTAATATTTCAAGAGAGATGGATGTATCTTATAAGTATCGTACAAGTATGAAAAACCATCAACTGTCAAATTACTCTTTTATACACATATATATATATATATATATATATATTATTTTCTTTTCCACAGTCCATGTAGAGCTTCTGGCTCACACAGTTGTGTGCGTGTGAGTATAAATCTCTACGGGCCTTTCTATACGGTTCAACAGCTCCCTCCAAAGATAAACGATGCAGAGAAGGGGAACCCCTCGACAAAACACTCTCAGAGTCTCCACACAGCCAGAAAGCAGAGCTCAGGGGTTAAATAATTCTCTACAGCGCTTTCCTCCCTCTCCCTTTCTCTCTCTCACACACACACACTCACACCCTACACACTATATGAATATCTTCCTCTTTATACTTCCGTCTTCATCTCCTTTGTTTCAGAGAGCCTCTTCCCATATTCCTCCTCCCCTCCTTTTTCTCACCACAACTCATCCACCCATTTCTATTTAATACATGTCATCTTTCTCTTTCATATTTCTGGGGAAGCATTCAAAAATAGCTCGGAGAAAGAGTCCGTCTCATCCGCGCGTGTGGAAGCGAGGGTGTTTGCGATTGTGCGGTGATCTTTTGGCACTGAATACATCTTCTCATGGTGTCCTCTTTGTTGTACAAATAGCTGAGTGGTGTATTGTCTGCGCTGTGAGTAGGTTATTCTAGTGCAACTGATGGCCTTTCCTCTGAGAAAACAATTCTTTAAATCCAGAACTTCTTCAGACCATCCGTCCACCCCCACAAATGCACACACTCACACACAAAGAGAGGAGGAAGCTGCAACACACAATCACTGAGGATAAACAAAAATATCTTCTGTCTTCTTCTTACTAATTCATCTAATTCATGTGTGTGCAGAGCAGTTGCTATGCCGATGACATCATGGAGTCTAGAAGGAAAGTGAAGAGACGTGTACAATGCAGCAGAAAAACACCAATCATCACACTACCATGAATCAACACAATAATGCACATTTAGTCTCTGATATTTGTCCTACATTGACATCTGTTGATGAAATATGCTGCTTTCACTAAACATTTAAAGAGATGGTTTACCCTAAAATTAAAATTCTGTCATCATTTGCTTACCCTCATGTCATTCCAAGTCTGTATGATTTTTTTTCTTCCGTCAAACACAAAATAAAATGTTCATGCTGCAATTTTGTATACAATGAAATTAAATGGTGACCACAAGCTTTAAAGGCCAAATAACAATAAAAAGCACCATGAATGCATTATAAAAGTCATTCATTATGAATCAACCACATTAAACAAAAAGCATTTGGAAACCCTACGGTAGCTTTGTGTGTTGAACAGATCAAACGTACTTTCTCCATGTAGCTCCCCTTGTACATGAGTATATTCAAATTTGCCTAATTTTAATTGGTTAGAAGACCAAGACACATGACAAGCAATGATGTCTGGCATACCTTAACTTAAAGGAGTAGTTCACCCAAAAATTAAAATTGTGCTATTATTTAGTCACCCTCATGTCGTTCCAAACCTGTATAAGTTGCTTTCTCATGTTGAACACAAAAGTTTGAAGAATCAAACAGTTATTGGTCCCCACTGACTTCCATAGTAGGGAAAGACATACTATCAACTGTTTGATTACCAGCATTCTTCAAAATATCCTCTTTTATGTTCAACATAAAGAAACTCATACAGGTTTGGAACGGCATGACGGTGAGTAAATGATGACCATTTTTTTTATTTTTGAACAAGCTATCCCTTTAAATACTAATCTAATGTGAGAAGATTTGACGCACCATATTTGAATATGCACAAACGAGATATACATTGAAAGAGCAGATTAGTGTTGGTTAATGATTTAAATTGTTCAATTCCTCATAAGGCTAAAGGACACCTTGAACGACATCAACTGTTGATAACTATAAGCTTTTAATAACGACAATGAAACAGTGGAACAATATAATTGGAATCACTTTCAGAACAAATTTTTACAGCTGATGAGTGATAAAAACATTGACAGCCAATCAGAATCCATCCAACTTTAAAGAGCTCAAGCATTTAAAGTGGCAGACAACATAACTGCAGCATACGCTAATAATAAACAATGTTATTGTGCACTGAATATAATTATTGCTAGCTATCTTTAGAGTTATTCTTGGTGTGAACAGCACACCAACAACAGACGCGTTTGTTGGATTTTGTCGAGTTAGCATGTTACACGTGTGCATCTGTTGCCTTTGGTTGGCGATTGAGTAGATCAGTAGATTGAGTATGTTCACACAGCATTTGTTA